GTTAATTTGAGATTGTTAATTGGGGATAATTAATTAACCGGCATCATTAATTTGGCGCTATTAATTAACAGGCGGTTGTTAATTTGGAGTCATTAAACAAGGGTGGTTAATTGTGGGGCGTTAATTAACGGGGGTGGTTAATTGGGGACAATTAATTAACGGGAGCTGTTAATTGCACGACATTAATTGCCCAGGGGTGGTTAATTGGGGTCATTAATTAACGGGGGTGGTTAATTTGGGTCATTAATTAACGGGGGTTGTTAATTGTGGGTAATTAATTAACCCGGGCTCATTAATTTGGACTAATTAATTAACTAAAGGTCGTTAATTTGGGGTCATTAATTTCCTGGATGTGCTTAATTACGGGTAATTAATTCAGCGAGGATGATTAATTGGACACTCATTAATTGTGGGTAATTAATTAGCCGGGGTGGTTAATTGTGGGTCATTAATTAACGGGGGTGGCTAATTTGGTGTCATTAATTAACAGGGGTTGTTAATTGGGGATCATTAATTAACAAGGGTGGTTAATTGTGTGTAATTAATTACCGAGGGTGGTTAATCTTGGGTCATTAATTAACGAGGTGGTTAATTGGTGGATAATTAATTAACGAGGTGGTTAATTGGTGGTTAATTAACTACCGAGGTCATTAATTGGTGGCTAATTAATCACCGAGGTCATTAATTGGTGGTTAATTAATCACCGAGGTCATTAATTGGTGGTTAATTAATTACTGGGCGGTTAATTGGTGGTTAATTAATTCCCGAGGTGGTTAATTAATTAATGAGGTGGTTAAGTGGCTGTTAATCAATTACCGAGGCGGTTAATTGGTTGTTAATTAATTACTGAGGCGGTTAATTGGTTGTTAATTAATTACTGAGGCGGTTAATTGGTGTTTAATCAATTACTGAGGCGGTTAATTGTTGGATAATTAATTACTGAGGCGGTTAATTGGTGTTTAATTAATTAATGAGGCAGTTAATTGATGGATAATTAATTAATGAGGCGGTTAATTGGATGTTAATCAATTTCTGAGGCAGTTAATTGTTGGATAATTAATTACCGAGGCGGTTAATTGGATGTTAATTAATTCCTGAGGTGGTTAATTGTTGGATAATTAATTACCGAGGCGGTTAATTGTTGGATAATTAATTACCGAGGCGGTTAATTGGATGTTAATTAATTACTGAGGCGGTTAATTGGATGTTAATTAATTACTGAGGCGGTTAATTGGATGTTAATCAATTCCTGAGGTGGTTAATTGTTGGATAATTAATTACTGAGGTGGTTAATTAATTAATGAGGCGTTTAATTGGATGTTAATCAATTACTGAGGCGGTTAATTGGATGTTAATTAATTCCCGAGGTGGTTAATTAATTAATGAGGTGGTTAAGTGGCTGTTAATCAATTACTGAGGCAGTTAATTGGTGGATAATTAATTACTGAGGCGGTTAATTCGTTGTTAATCAATTACTGAGGCGGTTAATTGGATGTTAATCAATTACTGAGGCGGTTAATTGGTGGATAATTAATTACTGAGGTCGTTAATTAATTAATGAGGCGGTTAATTGGATATTAATTAATTACTGAGGCGGTTAATTGGTGGTTAATCAATTACTGAGGCGGTTAATTGGTGGTTAATTAATTACCGAGGCGGTTAATTGGATGTTAATCAATTACTGAGGCGGTTAATTGTTGGATAATTAATTACTGAGGCTGTTAATTGGTGGTTAATTAATTCCCGAGGTGGTTAATCAATTACTGAGGCGGTTAATTGGTGGATAATTAATTACTGAGGCGGTTAATTGGATGTTAATCAATTAAGGAGGCGGTTACTTGGTGGTCAATCAATTACAGAGGCGGTTAATTGCTGAATAATTAATTAAGGAGGCAGTTAATTGGATGTTAATCAATTAATGAGGCGGTTAATTGGTGGATAATTAATTACTGAGGCGGTTAATTGGTGTTTAATTAATTAATGAGGCAGTTAATTGATGGATAATTAATTAATGAGGCGGTTAATTGGATGTTAATCAATTACCGAGGCGGTTAATTGGATGTTAATCAATTACTGAGGCGGTTAATTGTTGGATAATTAATTACTGAGGCTGTTAATTGGTGGTTAATTAATTCCCGAGGTGGTTAATCAATTACTGAGGTGGTTAATTGTTGGATAATTAATTACCGAGGCGTTTAATTGTTGGATAATTAATTACCGAGGCGGTTAATTGGTAGTTAATTAATTACCGAGGCGGTTAATTGATGGATAATTAATTACCGAGGCGGTTAATTGGTTCGGGTTCGGGTTCGGGTGGTTAATTAATTAATTAATCAATTGGATGTTAATTAATGAATTGCCGCAGGCTCTCGGCCGCTCTCAGCGCTGAGGCCAAGGAGGAAAATCGGAGACCGGTGAACGTGCTCAGGGGTGAGACTGGGATGGGGACTGGGATGGACTGGGACGGACTGGGATT